AGGCAGGATGTAAAATATTTTAACTCCACTAGAAAACCAAATAAGCATGAAATCTGATGATTAAAAAAAAAATTCTTGAAGGAGAGGGGAGGATATTAATCATGTTCAAATTGATAAGCAGTTGATAGTTTTATGCCTATACAGAAGCATTATCAATATTTCCTTAAAAAGTGAAAAAATTATGTGTAGTTATAATCCTCAAAGAATCTAGATCCAGCTCTGCTGTGAGACAGATCACGTTCTGAATCAAAATATTAAATCCACCATCATTAGCTTGTTCAATGTAACGTGTATACAGTAATAAAGTGTATCATTTAAGTAAAAATCTGTTCCTGACAAAGTTACATAAGTAATTTAGAAGCTGTCTTCGTAATTATCTCAGCCACGGTAAGCAGAAATATTTTACCTAAATACCATTTAGTAGCTAACAAATATGAACATTGCACTATAACTCTAAAAGGCTATATTAATAATGAGTAATGTCGATCACAATAAATGGCTACAAAAAGCTATAGATATTAAATTATCTGTCTTATATGGCTCAACTAAAGCTTCCAGCTGATCATCTGCTATGGCAATCTTCTGAAATAACCATAACGGGGCTCTTCTAAACAGAAAAGGGAAAGGAGCTGTGTCTCTAGAACGTACAGCTTACAAGGCTGGTGGGAAAAAAATCCACCAGGAGGTGGAACCATTGCTTGTTAGGGAAGGAGTATTCCTGCACTTTGCATATAGATAAGACTGAATTTTGAGAGTGAATCTTACTTGAGAGAGGTGTAGGCTCCTAATGTCCTTGCAGTGATCCATCACAATGTATTCTTGATACAGGAACGATCAGACAACTGCTTGCAATTCTAAGACGTAGTACCTGGTAATTCTCACATTATTAGCTGATTGAAATAACAGGCAAAATGCATTACTTGAAAGAAGCTGGTTACCAGACTGCAGCTGAGCAGGTGGTCTCGTTATACTTGCAGTCAAGATACTTGGTGAACGTTTGATCAGACCTTTTACAATTACACTAAAATGCAACCAGTTATATTGTAGGTAGTGAAGTGTTTTCTCCTTATATACTATTAGGAACCTTTACCAAGTGCTCCTGAGTGAAGATGAACATGAGTACATTTCTGTATTACTGTGTGGTAGGTTACATCATAATGAATATCCTGCGCTAAGTAAGGAAAATCTTTTTATTACATATCCTCAGTAAAGAAGGCCTTATGAATATATACACTTTATATATATAGACAGTACATATATATATGTGTGTGTGTGTGTGTGTGTGTGTATATATACATACACTATGTATTCCAGAAATAAGAATCTCTATCCAATACAATTTACCATTCACTGTTCCTGTTCAGAATTCACAGTAGAGGTAAAGCCAGAGCTTATAAATAGCCACTTCATCTAACCAAGTTAAGATGCCAGAAGGCTAATCTTTATCTGTAACTAGTAATGCTAAAGATGCTTCTGCTTGTAATTGTCATGACAGGGATGGCTGCTCTCTGGTGCGTAGAGATGTCTGCTAATATCTTTTAAGGATCTGACTAAGTGCCTGAAGTCAGATGATGTGTATGCATTGTTAATCTGTTTTAGAGACAGTTCTAGGCATTTTATCTTCTACCTAACCTGTACTGCTGAGTAAAAATGGGGAGGCAGGGAGCTCAAACACTGCAACACTGATCATCCACTGCTTAGCTGTTAGCGCATTCTCTTACGTAGTTTTGGTCCATTTCAGATAGGGCTCTCTGAAATGATTTATCTAGGCAGTATTTAGGGGATGTGACAGAAACCATTCTCGGCAGGCAGTATAGAGAAGATGCCTGATCAGGTTCGACTCCCTCCAGCACTATCTCAACAGACTTTGCCCTCATTTTCCCCAGGAAACGACCAAGTCAGACTTGGAAATGCAACACCTACCTTCTGTTTTATGCTCTGAGGACACCATGCTGATCAATGGCAACCCATCCATTATTTTAGAGACCCTGAACTGAAAACAAACAAATGAACAGGGGCAAAGAGTAAATAATAAGTAGCGTGGACATGAACAGCGCATGCCACTTGCCTCCAAGCCAGAGAACAGAGACCTTGTCTGCGCTCAGCAGTATAGACATGATTTCTGAGTTTCTCCAGTCTTCTCTTCCTTTTTTCACAGATTATTTATTCAAATGTCATTTAGACATGTCCAGCCATAGGTGACAAATTCCACAGGGGAGTCTGTTATTATTATGCACAAATTAGGTTGAAGCACACAATCACAGCCCCAGAACATACTGAGATAAAACCTTCAGAGCTTAAGCCTCGGCTCAGACTTACTGCACACTGCAGACTCATCCTGGGCTAGCTCTATCTTCCAGCTTCACTTGCATTGTATCAAAACGGACAAATAATACATTTTTCAACATTTGTGCTTATGCTTTTTTAAAAGTGGCATTTTTCTTTCACTCTGATAATTCTGAGAAATAACTCAGGTTTTTTACACAGTATTTTAATGCATTTAAGAGGTAGTGAACTGTCACGACAAGTTTTTCTCAGACCAGCACAAATATAAAAGAAGAAGGATTTCAGCTTTCTGTAAGAAGTTCTTTGCCTAAGTAAAAAAAGTTCAGCAGAGAACTCCTGAAACGTATATGAATAACAGGATCTTATTAAGAACAGAAGTATATTTAGTATATATAATAGAAATAAGAATGGAACCACCGCCCTGTTACAAAATAGAAAAGTTTATTGAGTCCTTATATTCATTTATTGTCTGCTTTCTACACTGGCAGAGAAACAGTCCCAGTGACTTGAATCTTATGACTTAAGAATGCAATGGCTCTAGACTTGCAAACTTATGACATGTATATCAATTTTAATGGGTATAAGAATTGACTGAGCATATTTCATATTTGCACTAGGAAAATGTCACATTTAAAAGTTTTCCAGAGAGTGAGACTACTTTCAAGTTTTGATTATAGCTAGATTTTTTGGTTTGAGAGATCACTTATATTCTAGAATTATCATGCAATGGGAAAATGTTACCGGTTACAGCACGCTGCATGTGTGATCCCTTCGGTGTGGAACAAGAACAAAATATAAATTTGATTACACTAATACCAGAATTTATAGTAATATTAATTAAGAGGGTGGATGATTATCTGTGCAACCTTAACAAATCAAAAAATGATCTCATGATATTTCCCTTACTCCCTTGCAAAAAAGTAGGTTTTATTGGATTTTTCACTGTGCCCTGCCCAATCTTTGCACGTGATACAAACCTCTTGCCTGTCTTCATAGCTAGTAACAGTGTCCAGTGATGTTCAGGTACCACTGCCAGCTTGTTTCTTGCCCAGTCCCTGCTCTGTATACATTGCTCTGTTTAAAATAAAGAAAACAGCAGAGAGAGAAAAGCAAGTGCAAAGTTTTTGTCTCAGTCTGAGGTTATCCATACAAACTAATCTCACTGGACTTCCTGGACTATGCAATTTTGACTATTATTATAGTAGGATATAAGCACGGAGTGTTTGAAAAAGATAGGAAAAAACCCGTAAAGAAAAGCGGTTATTTAACAGTCTGCCATGATGAGTTAGAAAATATGTAAAAACATCTGGCATGAAAGCTCTCCCTATTTGCAGCATCTTTAATTTAAATAAAGATGGAATGACATAAATCAAGATAAAAACAAGAACTCACTACAAAATTTTAATTCAGGCTTTTCTCACAAACCAAAATCAGTAAGAATTTGTTATTGTTTTTTAAACTTCTAAACGTGTGATACTTGAGCAATATGTTTTACTTACATTATGATCTCCTCAGGTTTTCTAACAGTTAAATCCAGTATTCCATTTTCCGTGTTCAGGAATGGAGGGTAATTTCTCTTAGCTTATTTCAACAGTATATATGTATATGCTGTATCTGATATACAGTAGCTCAGTTTATCTCATTGTTACTGCATTGTGTGGTCACTTTTCATCGCGTAACATCTTTCTGTGGAGCATTTCTTCCTAAGAGTCTTTCTTCTCTCTGCTTGATGTTCCACTCTGTGGCCTATTGAAAGATGTTATTTTTTTTTTCCAGTGTCCCTCCTTGTTTTTCCATTGTGTATATTCACTTGTTCTCCCCTCCACCCCATTTTTTCTCTTGCATTAATTGGTCCCAGATTATAATTTAGAGTTGAAAAGGTATCTGTGCTTTAAAAATTAAGAAATATGTTTTCCTAATACTTGCCTTGAGGAAGGTCCAAAGAGTCCTTTCTTTTTCTGGAGATGCAACATAAATTCTAAATGGCACTGCTGACACCAGCATAAACTCTATCTAATATTCACTACTTGAATAACTAAAAATATATAAAATAGCTCCTAATGTCTAACAAATTTTTCCAAAAAGACTGATGAATAATTTAAGGCTGCCTGAGGGAAGGTCCAATTTGTTCTCTGGCAGTTTATTCATGTTTTCCTGACTGTTTGAATCACAAAGTGAATCAAAAAATGAAATACGACTTTGTTTAATGTAGCAGGTTTTTTATGTGTATACCATTTACTAGTGATACGTGAAATTTGGCTAGTATCCTTAAACACCTAATACAGCCTTATCATGAAAACTCAGCAAACCTTCTGCAAAAGGAGCAAACTATAGCCACTAAAATGTGATAATGAGAAATAAACAGACATTCTGTTGAAGTGTGAACTCACTAGAGGGGCTGCAGGAAAATCTCCCCAGGGTTTCCTTAATTTCAACAATCAGGAGTAGAATACTATGCTATTCCCTCCTATGCTAACTAACAGGGATAGGAATTGCTGCTGTGTTACAGATCAGAAACGTCTCTGAAGACTGTTGAAACCGTAGGAAGAGATCCTCTAGCTCAACCACTGTGCTTCACCGTTTTGCATTTAGGTCACAGCACATTTAAACAGCACTATGCAAGCACAGCAATAAAGTTATTATTCCACACTAACACTGGAAAATTAAAAGATAACTCGCATGACAGGACAAGACATTTGAGTCGTGGTCTGTGAGGTTTCCTCTCTGGAAGAACGGGCTAGGTTTGGGTCTAGAAAATCTTGCATCAAATGATTAATCTGGATGTTCTATTTTGCTGCCTCTGAAGTTGCCATAAGAAAGAATAAATGGTGTAGCCAATATGAAAGTTTGCTCCCATAGAAGCCATTATTCAAAAGATATTTTACTATTGCTGGAATAATCTCTTCATAAAACTTATTTAATAAAATAGGTAAGATTAGTATTTAATTTTATTGCAAGAAGAGAACAAAATTTATGTCACTGGATATAATTACCATCCTACACTCTTTAATAAATATTCATTAGGCGATCTTCTTTTAAGATCTTGAGTCCTCAAAATAATGACTGTTTCATCTCTTGTTTGTGATGATAGTTTTTCAAAACCTATCTCTCTAAAAGGATTGGCTATATCTATGCACAGTGAAAACAGTGCCACAAAAGGTTCTGTGTTGAGTTTTGACAATATGCTCTTTGGAGTATATTGATTCTTACAAGCTATCAATCATTACAAGGAAGGCGTATCTTGAAACGAAGGATGACAGTTTTACCAGGTGGTAGAGTCTGGCGAGTTGACCAGTGTGCTTATTCAAATTATGCTTATTCAAATTATACAGGAATTTTATAGTTGAATTCAATTTCACTTAATTTTTCTCTACGACTGATTGGAATGTGGTGTTGAAATACATTCTACTGAACTGACCTGAGGAATCATCTTTACAGTCTTTCTCCTGAAACATTCAAATTGACCTTCATTTATGTATATTCTGCCATAGACTTCTTCAAATTGTGCTTTACAGTTCATCTGCCCTTAATATCACAAATAATCTCACTGGTGAAGTTGCTCACCAATGGTCTTCTCTCTCAATTTCTTGTCCCTTAATAACATGCATTCCGGAACCTGTAGCTGAAAGATGTTTTAGTATGCTGAAGAACCACTGAAAAAAGGAAAGCAAGAAAGAAAACAGATAGTTCTAACTTAAATGACAAAGCAAGTGGTCCAAACCTGAATGTTTTCAGAATGATACAGGTTTTGGAAATAGCATTTTTGAATCTGCAGATAAAGAAGCTCAGCTTTAAACATTTTCACGCTGCGACCAACTTTCACATTTTTGATCACGAGTAATTCTTACATACATTGCCTGGAATAATAAAACGTATTTGGACAATGTCTCTAATATTTTAATATTTTCATTTCATATACATGTATAAAATAATGTAGAGTCAGTATTTTAATTACGCTTACCTCTGTGTGTGCTCTTCTGATTTGATCTCACGTAAGCAGTATTGTACCATAATTCAGCCTTGATTTCCTATTTTAATAAATTCTGTACTTTTGTTGCTTAGCAGATTGCAAGTATTTATTGCCATTTGTTTAGGTTCAATTTTATGATACTGAGGGCCATCAACTTTGTCAAGCTGATGCCGCACGGTTGGAAGTTTAAAAGCATTATTGCTTCTGGAAACTGTAATTCTGTGTGTCTGCTTTAACATGCGTTAGAGCGTTCAAGAAACCTATAAACATAAATTTGTATTTTATGGTCATGATTTTTACCAAGATTTTCAAAAATATCTAAGTTATTAAGAGTCCTAAGACAGACAAACACACACATACACACACACACATTTACATATGTATTTTAAAATAACCCTGCATTGTCATAAAAGAAGACCCATATATATACATTGAATAGTGTTCAAGTTATACAACAAGTTATAACCCAGAGGCAGTGAATTAATTTTTGTAGGACTGCTATAAAATTAAAGTAAAAAAAGCAATTTTCTTCCCATGGGACCCTGAATCAGAACATAAGTAATAAGCGCTGGTTCAAGGAGGAAAAATTTACTTTAAGGATCTTTCATTCTGACTCAGACTGGAAAAAAGCTACAGCTTTTTTATAAAGGAAAAATAAAAACAGACATTTTAAAATTTTATTTGGACCAAAAAGGAGGAGTTGTCAAAGGGACAGACCTTGTGTCAATGTCGCTAGGTACTACAACTGCCTAATATGTACAGGACACATTTACTTTATCTTACTGTTATAAAAAGAAAAAGAAAAGGTTACTAAATAGCTCGTGTACTTTGTTGGTTCCACAAATTAAAAATGACTGTTTGTACTGATGGGATTCCATAAACTGTCAGAGGCAATTACTCAGTCCAGGTCCTCTTCGCCATATGAAATCTTCACCTTCTTCCAGTCATCAGAGCTACTTGACTTCTTTATTTGGCCCAGTTCCAAATTAAGCACTGAGTGCATTTTTTCCTTGAAGTAGTATCTTATTTGTTAACCACATTACATCATAGTAAACTCCTTTAAAAAGTGACAACCTTATACATATGCAGCTAAACCAACAAAATCTCTATGCAAAAATGGAGCTTGTTCACCAATTGCTTTGATATTGTTACTATGCAGCAATGGTAAGAACAAAAAATTTTGTGCATCTTTGTATTAGTACAATGAGCTACCAAGCCCATCAGTATACTTTCAGTCTCCTTATAGTAAGTCTAGAAAGAGATACAGATTTAAATTTGTCACAGTCCTCCTCTCTCTTCTTACCCCTGTGACTCATAGCTGTGATCTCTTAATAAATGAGTGATATATTCAGTTTACCAGCTCTATTTTAATTTCCTCTCCAGCTAACCCTGTAAATAAAAGACTTCTAGCTGTTTCAATTTTATTTTCTGACAGTAAGAGACATATCTGCCTGATTTAAATGCCAGATACCTTTTAACTATTATTAATTACATTTAATTAGAATCTGCATTGGGAAAAAATATTATTCTAAATCTTTGTTAATTAATAGTTGTCTATAAGCTACCATTTCTCCCACACCCCACTTATTCTTACCATCTCATTTATTCTTTATTAATAGCTACCTCTCTAACAAGTATGATGTGCAGTTGCATTATATATCAATAAAAAGCACAGAACCATTGGCCTAGTATTTCTCCAGTTGAGAAGAAAGTTCTCTTTCATAAAGCAGATTACCACTTAGGAAGTGGCTGAGATATGTGAAAGCAAATGGTGTGACAGCTTTATATCATTTTCTTAATTATGTTTTTATTTATGGGACAATCATTTTATATATATATATATATATATACACACACACACACACACACACACACACACACACACGCATGTATGTGTTGATAGTATCTAGTAAGAAGAACAACTGTTATTTCTTGATTTCTTAATTAAAAAAAAGACAAGTCTTTATGGATATTCAAATTAATATTTAGTTACTTGTTCTTTTGGCACCCAAGACAACTCGATAGCTGAAATACCATAAACTGAAATTTTACCTTCGAAACTAAAGGTTAGACTCCCCTTTTCTTGCAGGAAAACTACAAAGAAGGGCTTGAGAGAAGGGGACCTAAAGGAAGAAAATGTAACTTTCTGCAAGGTGTTCTGTATCAGGGCACGATGTTCTTGTCTTCTCCCCTCTGCACCTTTAATACCTCTACATTTCACAGCTGTTTGTCGCAGATTGAAACTACAAATTGACAAAGGCCAATGAGAAAAGCTATGACCAGGCCATGCAGGCCTTGTCTCTTATTTTTCATTATACTGCAGTAGAGCCAAGCTACAATAACCATCTTTTCTTCTTTTTTCCTATAGGAGAGAGACAGCGTGAGGCTGCTGCACTTTCCAAGTTTACCTCTTAACAGAGGATGCACACAAATCTCAGCCTTTGTGAAGGTCTTCCAACAGTACTGACAAAGTGAAACTCTATACGTAACTGGCCAAAGAGATGTACTTTATCCATAATTTTTAAAGGAAAGTTAAAACTTTTAAGGGAGATTTCTGATACACCCTTGCATTGAATCCTGCCATCCCTGCGCAGTACTGTGATAATAACATACTCTTAAGGTTAGCTGCATATTACTATCTATCTCAGATCTTAAATATATTGAGTATCTTTTAGGTGTAAGCTTTTAGGAGCTCAAGGTTTACATAATTATTTTGTCACTAAATAAGCCAGATGTGCAGGTTAATGCATTTCTACAGTATCTCATTATGATTACATTGACTTTAAAAAGGTAACCTGTCATTTGCAGCTCTCACGATCTATTTGGCTGATTTTTGAAGTCAAAGAGCAATAGCTTTCAGTGACCTTCAAAATATGCTGATTTTATGGCGCCTTCTTAAAAGGTGTTTGGAATCAAACAATTAAATTAATGCTGAAATATTTTAATTTCAAACTTTTCTGTTCAATGTGTGTAAAGGTGATACTGGATGTTTAAATTCCTCTGAGAGTCCTCTGTAAGTATATTCCTTATTTCCATAAACTATTTCACTGTGCAGTAATTTTTACTTTTGGCTGTTAGAAGACTGTATCAGTAGATTTTCTAATATTAAAATATCCCAATAAATGTTTCTTTGTTATTTAAAATTAGAACCTAAAATAGGAAAAAAAGTCAGGTGACTAAGAACCCATCTATAATCCATATAAACCAAATAAAATAAATAACAAAGTGCTAGAAGGGGACACAGCCAGGCTCCACAGCCGTGAATATATTTTGCCTTTTGTCTTCATGTATTAAAAATAGAAGTTAATATAGTGTATCATTCTTGAAGATGCACTGTAAAAGTACTACTCCCAGACTATTTACATATGCTCATTGTCAGATCAGTTTACGGTGCCCATCAATTCTGTCAGGTAAGTCTCTGTACTGTGGAGTTTAGGGAGTACTAGTTTAAGTGCAGTTTCTTTTCTTCTATCAAACTGATTTTTTTTTTTTTAAGTTCTTCTCCACTGGTAGGTAAAAGTATGTCTCTTATTTTCTCAGTTATTAGCCTATTAAGAAAATTTCAGGCTTAATTTACAGACTAGTCCATGGCTGTCAAACAGTATTTTAGGCATCTTTTGGAAAGGAAATCTAGAAATCAGTTCCCATGTCTAGCGCATGATTTTCATATTCTTTTCTATTTTGGAATGATGAAAGGCACAACATAGTTTGTATATGTACAATTCCAGTCAGAATTTGAGGAATTTGCCAAATATGATTTTGGAAAAGTTACCTTAATTTTGCATCAAAGCTTGTACACTTGATATTATAGCCTATGAAAAAATGGAAGGAGGATAGCCTGTGTTTGGGAGACAAGTATCTTTTTGCAGACCTA